GTCCCTGCATTCAATGGAAACAGAACTAACCTGGAGAAACACATTCTCATCTCTCTGGCAGAAAAAGAAAATTTCAATGATTACTGGGAGTACCTTCATAATTCAGAATCATTTTTTAAGAATTATATTCAAATCCATATAAAAAGGTATTGTTCAGACAAAAGAAGTGAAACAATGAAAACTTTTTTAGAACTATGTTTAGGTGACATCAAGAATGCCATCCTCTCAGCTATTCATGAATCCACTGTAATAGCTAAAGATAAAAGCAGCACTGTTTCTGGGTGGCTGGATTTGTTCTGTGATCACCTGGGAAGTAACTTGATCTTTCCACGAAATGACTTGCTAAGCATTGAACACCAGGAGATAAAAGATATTGAGTTTCTCAAAGAAACTATGACTAAGGCTTTGGATCCCACAATGAAGATAGTAGAACAGAAGTGTTTGAGTATGTCTGTAGAAGATATTGTTACTAAAATCCAGAAAATGCTCTCTGAACATCTCTGTGGATGCTGGAAACAGTGTCCCTTCTGCAGAGCAATTTGTACAAACACAATCCCCACACATGACGGAGACCACAGTGTTCCCTTCCACCGTCCTCAGGCTGTCTGTGGGATCCAATGGCATAAAACAGACAACTTTGTCATTGATTCCTGTACTAGTTTAGTAGCAAGTGATTGTTTATTAGTTTTGAGTGAGGACCACAAGATCCCATATAAGAACTATCGACAGGCAGGAGGGGACTATGCCACGTGGAGCATCACCCCAGACTCATCCACCCAGCCCTACTGGAAATGGTTTGTCTGTCACTTCAGATCAAACCTAGAAGAAAAATATGAGCGAAAATTTATAGGTAGAGGTAAAATTCCTGATCAATGGTTCAAAATCACAAAGCAAGATGTGCTTGATGACTTGAAAAAACAATAACACTCAATAACCACAAGAGCATGAGAATGTGAACAAAAGAATTACATCACCTGAACAAAACTAAGATACTTCCTTCTCACGAGAACCTCATTATTTCCATTTTTCAAATGAAATATCTTGAAATAAATCAAGTAACAATTGCATGAGTTGAAGATTTTCCTATGTCTCAATTCATTCTGGTTTAAAAACAAGTTACTAAAATATATGAGCATATGATAAAAATCAAATAAAATCCATTTAAAATACCAACTCCATATTTTAAACTACTATTCAGAATGTTCTTTTATTTTAAAAGATATAAAATTATATAAAGTCTCAAGAATGACATTTTCATATAGGAATCAAAATCATTGAAGCCTGCTACAGAAATCTATAGATTAACTAGATGATCGTTCAAACCAATATACAGTTCTTGGCTGGAAGCTACAAGTTGCCTTTTTTTAAGT